TACGTGTAATTAAATTTTTAATTTATATTTAAAATTTTTTTATAATGTCTTGAATTAGTATCTGTAACTTGTTTTTTTTTAATTTTTTTCAAGGACTTCACTATTATTATTTTGATATGTAATTGAGATTTTATTGTCATTATTACTTTCTATTTTTTAAATTTCTCATCCCCTCGTTTCCTTCTTTTTATATGAAATAGTCATCGATTTGTATGCGTCTTTGTTGGTCCACTTCTTTTTCTTCTTTGAAGTTTCTTCATCGTTTCGGTTTACCATTTAACAAAAACAGTCATTCTTTTATTAATGTATTGCATGCTCGTTATTTATAAACTACTCATAATATGTTTCATCAAAATTAATGAAAACATTAAAATTTATTATCTTTATCTAAAAATTTAATAATTAACTTTTTTCCAACTTTGTTTCTAAGTAATGAATTTAAGTCATCTAAAGTTGGAATTAATGAATTTATATGAAGTTTATCTTTTTAATATTTTCACGCTTTTATTATTTTTTATAAAATATAAAATTTTTTATCTCTTTTTTTTATTTTAAAAGAACTCGGAAAAAGATAAATTTAGGTTCCTGCATTTTTTTTTTGTATTCTAAGTTTCAACATTTTTATGTTTGATGTTTTAGGTCCCTTCATAAATGAAGTATAGGGATCTTGGAAGGATTAAAAATCCAAAAAAAAAAAATGTAAGAATCAATAGAAAAATATGAGTAAATTATAGGAATTTAAAGTTATATTTTCTCAAAAAACTTCATATCAATTCCAACTAACTAAAATCGTAAATAAATATTATATACTTTACAGGCTGTGGGAGCCTTATGGCTTAGCTAGCATTGTCAAAATAAATAAATAAATTATATTTAGAGTTTTCAATTAGGCCGAGTCTATTGGCCCATGCCTTTTAAACCAAAACAATTTAGGGCTAGGATTTGATTGGCCGAAATAGAGCCTCAAGATGTAATCCGGCCTAATAAGTATAGCTCTAATTATATTTGTGCCAAATATACCTTCGGCCCTTTCACGTCTAATAAACTATATATTTGTGATTGCAAAAAAATAACTATATATATATATATATATACCCACCCCACTACTTAATTACTATATATACTATTAGGAAAAACTTAACATTTGGTCTTTACGCTTTGTTTGTGTTTTGATATAGGTTTCTACATTTTTTTAAGTATTCTGAATCCTTATAATTTTATTTTTTAGTATTTTAGATCCTTTCAAGAATCTTATATTTTGTTTATTTAGGGACTTAGAATACTGAAAAATAAAAATATAGAGACCTAAAATACAAAAAAAGTTGTAAAATCTATAGCAAAACACTAGCAAAGTATAGAAAATAAAAATTATGTTTTCCTTATATTAATTATTATATTATATTGTAACGTTGACGAAGAAAAAATAATAATTGTATAATTCATATATATAATTGTCGTTTAGGCTTTGTCGCCATCAAATGTTGACAACCTAATATATCTGTGGCGCTTTAATTTCACCTATAATAAACTGTCAATATTGGAGTCCCACGTCGGTGTTGATCAGGAAAATGATCCTTCTACATATTCGAATCGATCGAGACTCATAAAGGAGAAAGATTTTCTTTTCTTTTTTCTTGGGCAAAGATACTTCATTGGCCAAACAAAAGCATACAAAGGTCCAGAAACAAAAAGTAAAGGCAAAAGACAGGAAATAAAAGGAAGCTGTAGTAAAGAGAAGGCAAAGAAACAAAAGTTGTAAAATCTATAGCAAAACACTAGCAAAGTATAGAAAATAAAAATTATGTTTTCCTTATATTAATTATTATATTATATTGTAACGTTGACGAAGAAAAAATAATAATTGTATAATTCATATATATAATTGTCGTTTAGGCTTTGTCGCCATCAAATGTTGACAACCTAATATATCTGTGGCGCTTTAATTTCACCTATAATAAACTGTCAATATTGGAGTCCCACGTCGGTGTTGATCAGGAAAATGATCCTTCTACATATTCGAATCGATCGAGACTCATAAAGGAGAAAGATTTTTCTTTTCTTTCTTCTTGGGCAAAGATACTTCATTGGCCAAACAAAAGCATACAAAGGTCCAGAAACAAAAAGTAAAGGCGAAAGACAGGAAATAAAAGGAAGCTGTAGAGAAAGAGAAGGCAAAGAAACATCAGCCAACTCCTGTCTTAGTTCCTGAATTCGAAGTATCAGCCCCATGGTTCACAGCTTCCACCGCATCAGAGGTTAGGAGAGACAATAAAGAAACTATATACATATATATAGTCTGTATATATAAATATGCTGGTAAAAGAAACTAATAGAGGAGAAAGCTTTCACTTCTAGTCAACTATAGTGTGTGTGTGTGTGTGCTGGTAAAAGAAACTATATACATATACGCACACCACTACTTAATTGGGGTGTGCGAGTATTAGTTATATCATATGGTTGACGAAGAAAAAATATAATTATATATATATATATATATAATTTGTAAAATCTATAGCAAAACACTAGCATATACGCACACCACTACTTAATTGGGGTGTGCGAGTATTAGTTATATCATATGGTTGACGAAGAAAAAATATAATTATATATATATAATAAGTATAGCTCTAATTATATTTGTGCCAAATATACCTTCGGCCCTTTCACGTCTAATAAACTATATATTTGTGATTGCAAAAAAATAACTATATATATATATATATATATACCCACCCCACTACTTAATTACTATATATACTATTAGGAAAAACTTAACATTTGGTCTTTACGCTTTGTTTGTGTTTTGATATAGGTTTCTACATTTTTTTAAGTATTCTGAATCCTTATAATTTTATTTTTTAGTATTTTAGATCCTTTCAAGAATCTTATATTTTGTTTATTTAGGGACTTAGAATACTGAAAAATAAAAATATAGAGACCTAAAATACAAAAAAAGTTGTAAAATCTATAGCAAAACACTAGCAAAGTATAGAAAATAAAAATTATGTTTTCCTTATATTAATTATTATATTATATTGTAACGTTGACGAAGAAAAATAATAATTGTATAATTCATATATATAATTGTCGTTTAGGCTTTGTCGCCATCAAATGTTGACAACCTAATATATCTGTGGCGCTTTAATTTCACCTATAATAAACTGTCAATATTGGAGTCCCACGTCGGTGTTGATCAGGAAAATGATCCTTCTACATATTCGAATCGATCGAGACTCATAAAGGAGAAAGATTTTTCTTTTCTTTTTTCTTGGGCAAAGATACTTCATTGGCCAAACAAAAGCATACAAAGGTCCAGAAACAAAAAGTAAAGGCAAAAGACAGGAAATAAAAGGAAGCTGTAGTAAAGAGAAGGCAAAGAAACATCAGCCAACTCCTGTCTTAGTTCCTGAATTCTAAGTATCAGCCCCATGGTTCACAGCTTCCACCGCATCAGAGGTTAGGAGAGACAATAAAGAAACTATATACATATATATAGTCTGTATATATAAATATGCTGGTAAAAGAAACTAATAGAGGAGAAAGCTTTCACTTCTAGTCAACTATAGTGTGTGTGTGTGTGTGTGTGTGCTGGTAAAAGAAACTATATACATATACGCACACCACTACTTAATTGGGGTGTGCGAGCATTAGTTATATCATATGGTTGACGAAGAAAAAATATAATTATATATATATATATATATATAATTTATATACTCCTTTCCAGTAGCAGAGCTAAGATCAGGAGCCAAGGGTACAAGATAACTTAATAAAAAAATAATATTTTTTAAAATTATAATTTAATAATTAAAAATGATAATTATGCTAGGGTTAAAATTGCAATAACATAAATAAATTGATTATCATTTTTCATTTAAAAAGTTATATTAAACAGGTTGATGTGGTCTTTTACTGCAAATATACCTTTCATATTTTATTTAAATTGTTAAAATTTTATATATCCATGAAATTTTTAAGCCCAAATATTTTTTATTTAATTTATATGGTGCAAACATCATGAGTAAAAGGTGCAAAGTTATAAACCTCACATATCCCTCAACATAACGCGGCTCCCCACTCTCCTTCCCTTCTCTATTATAGCGTACTCTTTAAAAAGATTATTTAATTTTTAATATACGACACATAAATGGTTATTTATTATTTTTTTAATTTTATCTGAATTATAAGTTTAATTTTATAGCTTATCATATATTCTACGTCTCTCTCTCTGTAAAGAATGCCCAATAGATGCTGAAATTTTTCAGGCACGATTATGCTTCTCACTGAAATGATGACAAGTTACCCTCACATAATCAGTTACTGTGCTCTATTATGCATTTTCTTCTTCTCCTCTCCTTCCTCATTTTTCCTCCTTTCTCTTCCTCTTCCAAAAACGAAGGGCTCACTATCAAACATGATTAATGTGTAGGCCAAAATCAAAGGATTAAAGACCAGAAATGTGTGAGATATATAATAAGAAATATTAATTAGCTCTTAAGAAAAATCGTGGAAACTGAGAAGAAAGTGAAACGAAGAGCCACTGAGCGAGTCAAATAAGGAAGGGTCCAAAATTTCCACGCTCGGGGACGACGAGTAAGACCACATTACCAAGACTTTTGCCAACTTCTAATTAAAAAAAAAAAGGTTTAGGGGTAGGAAAAGAAAAGGCAATCTTAGGTGATTAATAACGTTGAGCTAGTTTTCATAGTAACGTGAAAATTCTCTTGCCGGCGGAGGAAATTACAGAGGTTCAAACACATGAAAATTCTGAAAGCCTCTCGCATTCGAAATTTAGAATGATAAACACAATCAAAATACAAAAATAATTATATTGACAACAGTGCAATAGTACAACCCAAGTGCCAAGAGAACACGTAGGCAATTGGCAGGGACCCGGATCAATTATTCACTCTCAAAAGTTCGACAAGCAAAGCACTCATACAAACTTAAATAACATAAAAACACAACTAAGCAAAGCATCAAACAGATGGGTCCAAACTCTAGTTTACCAAGTTCTCAACGAGAGCATCAAACAATGGAGTTGGATTTCCAAATATAACTGACATTATAAGGTTGAAACCTACTTTCGCCATTTTGATAAGCACTTTAGTGGAAGAAACTCCCGGCCTCGCCAAGCTTCTTCTTTCCATGGCCGAAGAGCTTGTGGCTGATGTGATCGAGCTTCTATTTGGCATCATCCCTCTCACTGAGTCTGTAGTCTCACTTCTGGTGACCAAGCTTGAAGAAGAAGAAGAAACATTGAAGTAGCCCGTTTCCCAGTTCTCCAGAATCAAGGTCTTCACACAATAGACATGGTAGCAATAATTTCCACAAGAAGACACATAGGACCAACCTCTGAAAGGCTCCTTGCTCTGAACGTTATCTAGATCCTTCCTCTTGCATTTCACACACGTGTAGTCCACTTTGTCCTTTAGACTCAGCTCCATAGTGCCATGAGAGTCAGACATGGTTCTCCTAAGGTTAATGCAACAAGGGTGCAAATCAAACCCGTGTCTGGACTGATCATGATACAGAAACCCTCGCACGTCCCTCCCGCAAGCATCGCAATATCGGCGGTACGGCCCTGCCGGGGGTGCCCAGAGAAACTCGAACAGGCGGTTACCCATGAATGCATGGATTCTGGGTCTGTCTGTGGGGCGAGCCGTGGCACAGTGGTCGTGAAGGATGAAGGGACAATCCCTTTTAGAGCAGTGGTACCTCGGGCCAAACCCTAGTTCTTTGCAGCCACTGCATTTGAATGGTCGTCCTTCTCTTTTCAGCACTATTGGATGCTGAAGATGATATGGGTGATTCATCGTCGTCGCCATGCCCCTTGATCCTTTACTTTCTTCTGCTTATTTTTTACGATATTAGCGTTATTTCTCTTCATCCTTCCTGAGCTTTATACATAATGTTCTTTGGGAAGGGGCGGGGGTGGTTGCGCGGAAGATGCCAGCAAGTTTAATTTCTTCTCATATAAAGACACTCTACTGGTCGTATGAGCGTCGCGACTGAGGTGGCATTGTCAAATTAGATACTCTTTCTATACCATAATATAATATAAGGCATATTTTAGAAACCTTATTTGATCTAAAATATAAGATATTGAATAATTTTTACAATTAATTTTTCAACTATATTCCTATTTCATTTATTAATTTTTTTTAAAAAATGATGTATTAGAATTTTAATTATCATTATCAAGACACTTATAATGGATGTTTAATGAGTAAATAATAAAAAAAATTATAATTTTTTAAGAAATTAAAATTTCAACTAATATTTTTAAAAATTGTGAATTAATTACCAATATCCTATTCTGTGATTTGAAAGGAGTAAGTATTATATTTGTACCAAATTACTAAAGTCCCATGCATCGTATATAACAATTTTTTAAATATGTGACATTTATCATTGATAATTAATTTTTGCAGAAAAATCTTTATCATAAGAATAACTTGTAACAAATATATTTTCCGTATTATCCTATACACAATGAAAATATTTAACCATAATCAATAATGTTGATTATGCACAAATAGAGTATAATAAATAACTTGTTTAAAAAAGGAGTATAATAAATGACGTTGTAAATAGATACAATATAAAACATACTAAGGAAATTTCATAATTTTATAGGTCAAATTATCAAAGAGTTTCCTATAAATAATATATTTAAAGTTATGTCAACGAATCGATCATGTTTAACAAGAACCAATATTATTTTTAAACGTTCTATGCTTTGAACACAAGAAATAACCTGCAAATGACCATGAATAAAAATGAGACGAGGCAGATAGATACAAATTAATGGTCATGGCGAGGCTAATATAATAGAAATCTGTCTCATTGTTGACGAAATAAAAAAAAATAATTATATAATTGACGTATATCATTGTTGTTTAGGCTTTTTCGCCAACAAATGTTGACTACCAAATATATCTTGGGCGCTTTCTATTGACTAACAAATGTTGCCAATGCTTAATTAGGTCCACACGCGTTTACTAGTGGTTGCGCTATAATAAATTAATCCCTTTGAAATGAATACGGCGGTAATCCTAAAAAAATATATTCAAATTATATCTCTAATGTATTTTTGTTAAATTCAACAAATACTTAAATTTTTTTAAAAATAAAATTTTGGATCCTTGCATTTTTTTTGTCAGTGTTCTAGGTTTCAATAACACTGCTTGTGGAGAGTGACCTTGAACATCAAAAAACAAAAGTATGAAAACCTTGAACACAAAAAAAAAAAAGTGCAGAAACCTAAAATTATTTTTTAAAATTTTTTATATAAATTTTTTTCAAATAAAAACTGAAAATCAAACAAGCACGCAATCCCATTAGTAACAACTTGACATTTGTTTGAACATAGAATTTTCTTTAACTGAATTGTATTGATTGTTAACTTAATGTGATTTAATATCTCGAATGTGACAAATTCGATGTTTATCATGATTTACATTCTCAAATAGACTTACATTATACAGCACTCTTGCGTCTTCTCCCAAACTCCCTACTTATAGAAAAGATCGGTTCATATTAATGCTTTAATATCAAAAAGGACTAATCACATCAAAACAAGTCGATACAGTGAAACTATAATTAATGTGTGTGTCTCCCTACAGGTTCGTTCCTTGCAACCCCTTCGTGTGTGTGTGTTTGTGTTTTTTTAATTATAATTACCATCTCCTATATACTGTTGGGCTCACATAAAGATATTGGTACATAATGTGGAGGATAAAATCAAGGGTTAATTAACAATAGAGAGATTGATTAGCTCCTAAGAAAAATCGAGGAATTTGAGAAGCAAGAGCAGCGAAAGAACCATTGAGTGCGTCAAATTAGGAAGGGGCCAAAATTTCTATGCTCAAGAACGATCCCTAAGATCCAGCCAAACAAAAAATTTTAAAATAAATTGTAAATACTAATTTAGACAATTACATATAACAATCTTACTTGCGAACTGAAAATTATGTTTAGAATTTAAACCTTTTATCTATCAATAAAATTCCTTAATTTGCAACTATTTTTTTAAAATTAATCAGAGATCGAACTATAATTAATTCCCTCTTTTGAAATTAATTATGTTCCATTTAATAGCATGGAAGAGTTTTTAATGGAAGTAGAGGTGAAAGTGAAAATGAAAATATAAGTGGGTCTAAAAGTATGTTTAATATGGGGATAGAAGTGAAATAAAAATTATATTTAATTAATATGGTTGTATGTGTCAAAAAGACCAAAACATCCCTGAAATTAAAAAAAAAAAGTCTGTCATCTTCATTGTTCATCATCTAGCCTCCACCACATCTGATAACACCTAAACTGGAAAATTCTCCACCAGATCGAGAACTATGAACGATGAAGAAAGAGATAAGCATGACAATAAATTTGTGATTGCAATCAACTAGAAAACGATGGGCAATAGCAATAAAATATGACGAATTTGAGTCATGTGTAAAGCAATTATCAAACAAATAACTACTCATCATATTCCTTATTTTACTTTCATCTTCACCAAAAGAACCAGAAGAAATTTCGTTTCCAACTTCTCAGACATTTTCTAATGGAATTTGGAAACAAGAGGATGACGTCCTTCTAGGCATTTTCATTTAAATGTTCATCGTCTTCGTGCTTGAATGTTGCCAAACTCAGATCGAGAAGCAAGGGAGGATGAGGGATCAAGAAGCCATTGTTAGAACTTGGAAGATTTCATAGTTCACCAAGAAATCAGAAATAAAGCTGAGAACTGAGATATAAGAAGGTTCAGGAGGAAGCGCTGCCATATGAGGAGGAGGATGCGCCGGAGGGGGAGACATCACGATTCACGATGGACTGTGAGATGATGAGATTGGTGTTTTAGAGTTTCTAGAGATTTCTAATGAGGAGATCTGACGAAGGGGAGAAGGAGGCTTGAAGCTTGAAGCATGAAGGTTCAGAGTTAAGCTCGATGCTCGAAGCGTCAGAGAAGGTGGCCGTTGGTCCGAGGAACTGGAGAGACAAATTATGTTCAGAACTTTGGAGGGGCAAAATTGTCAATTGATAAAATATACAAGGGTATAGTAGTCCGAAAATCTCACTTCAATGGGACTCAAACCAATTCCACCGAGTAAGGGGAGGAATTCAATTCCATCAAATTTGATGGAAGTGGATTCCAACTTACCAAATAACTCATTTTTAAAATTTTACTTGTACTTCTCTAAACTTAATTCCAGCATATCAAATGAGATATTAAAAAAAATAACAATTAAGGATTTTATAAAAACATTAATGATAGTTATAATTTTTAAATTATTAAAATCATAATAATAAATCATGATCTTTACTTGCAATTAAAAAATGCAAGTAGTCAGTTAAAAAATTAATAAAAGATAATTGAAATTACTTGTAATGTTAGTTCAAAATTCACAAGAATCAATTATAAATCTCAAATTTTTATTGTCAATATATAAATAAATCATATGAAAAACTAAGAAAACACATTTGAAATTATTTATAATGTTAATTGAAAATATACAAGAATTACAAGACTTTTTTTTATCAATTTATAGATAAATCATTTGAGAAATCTACAAAATTAACTTGAAATTTATGAGTCAGATATAAATTATAAGCCAATTGTGATTTTCTACTATAGGTTGTGAATGAAAAATATATATATATCTATACATATATGAGAATAACCTTTATAGCATTATTTAGGAATTTATAAAAATATATATATATGAGAATGAAAAAAAGCCAATTTATAAAAGCCAAATAACAAAAGATAATTTATTACAAGTAAGAATCTTATATTGAGATTTTCATAATTGGAAGTCTTGTCATTAATGTTCTTATGGAATCCCTAATTGTCATTTTCCAACTAAATTAATTGAACTATTGAGATAAACTCTTACGTTCAGTCAGTTAAATTGGTTTCTCATTAAATTCGAATATCTTTCCCCGTTCTCATGAAAACGCTCAGGGTTAGGGGAACAAAGGCAATCTCAGGTGTTAAGGGTTGAGATAATTTAGGGTAATATTTAATATATAGTAACGTGAAAATTCTCTTGCCGGAATATATTACAGAGGTTCAATTTCAAACCCATGAAAATTCTGGAAGCCTCTCGCTTTCAAATCAAGAATGATTTTTATATACACAAATCAAAATGAAAAAAATAATTTTATTAACAAAAGTGCAAAAAAGTACAACCCAAATGCATGCCAAGAGACCACATGGGCAATTGGTAGAGACTTGTATCAATTATCTTGACTCTCGAAAGTTTGACACACAAAGTACTCATATTATACAAACATATATGACCTAAGCATAATGAGCAACATAAAAACACAATCACGTAAACCTCAACCGCTGGGTCCAAAGCCTATTATTCTAACAAGTTTTCAACGAGGGCAGCAAACAATGGAGTTGGATTTCCAAATAAAACAGATATTATGACGCTGAATCCTACTTTCATCATTTTGATCAACGCACGGGAGACTGATAATCTAGACGACCTTCTTCTTCTATCCATGGCCAAAGAGCTTGTAGCTGATAAAGTTTCACTTCTGATGACCAAGCTTGAAGAAGAAGAGTAGGAGGAGGAAGAAGCAACATTGAAATAACCCTTTCCCAGTTCTCCAGGATCAAAGTCTTCACACAATAAACATGGTAGCAATAGTTTCCACAAGACGACACATAGGACCACCCTCTGAAAGCCTCCTTGCTCTGAACGTTATTTAGACCCTTCCTCTTGCATTTCACACATTTAGAGGGCACTTTGTCTTTTAGATTCAGCTCCACAGTGCCGTTAGGATCAGATATGGTTCTCTTTAGGTTCATGCAACAAGGATGCAAATCAAAATTGTGTTTGGAATATTGGTCTTGATACAGAAACCCTCGGACGTCTTGCCCGCAAGCGTCGCAATATCGGCGGTTCGGTTCGCCCGGCGGTTCCCAGAGGAAGTCAAACCGGCGGTTCCCCATAAACAGGTGGATTCTTGTGCGGTCGGTGGGGCGAGCCGTGGCACAGTGGTAGTGAAGGACGAAGGGACAATCAGTTTCGTGGCACTGGTACCTTGGGCCAAACCCTAGTTCCTTGCAGCCGCTGCATTGGAATGGAGCTCCTTCGCTTTTCAGTATTATTGGATGCTGAAGATGACATGGGTGATTCATCGTCTCTTCAAAATCACTTCCCATTCGTTGTCAACCCTCTTTCCTTTAAACTTTCTTCTGCAGCTTCTTGACGATCTTTTATATGTATATGTATAGCGTTTTTTTTTCCTGTCCAACGTAACTTTCTTAAGAGCTATTCCCTATATATAAGCTGAGATTTCTGAATTTCTATGAAGTTTTCATTTTAAAAGGAAATCTTCATGAAATTTACCAACCTTAACATGAAAGAATTTAAATTCCACATAGATATATAGATATATATATATCTTTCTTTGTGCGGCTTTTTATTTGGAAAAAAAATGACACTTCTTGGCTAAGAGAAAATGACAATTAAGCCCCAAATATTAAATTAATAACATTTAGGTCCTTAATAATTTTTTTGAAAAATAAATTAAAAATATTAAATCAAATAATTGTAAATTGAATTTTTTTTAATTTCAAATATGATATTTAAATTTTACATGTAACTCTCAGGATGGGTTTGCATCAAGAGAAAAAAAACTATGAAAGAAAATTTCTAAAAATTGTAAATCTTTTTATTATTTTTTTAAATTTTTCTTCCTAGTTTTCTTTACCCATATTTGTGGGGCTAGTTTGCAACTAAATAACGTTTTGGTTTATAACTGTTTGAATTAATATTTGTAACTCATTTCAGAATATTTTATTGAGGCTTAACTGCCATTAATTTGATCTATTGGGACTTTACCGCTATTCTCTATTTTTATTTTTTAAAATTTTTCTCCCACTGTTTTCTTTCTTAAAAAAGAATCTTACATTTTGTAGACGACTTTGCTTTTCCATTTCTTAATTTCTTCTTTATTTTCTCTCTTTTCTCACTGTTGTTTCCCGAAAGTTTCTTCATTTTTTGGATAACCATTTAATAAAATGCACATATTCATTACTTTATTAATGCATTGCATGTTTTAAAAAAAATTTATAATGCGGAAGATGCCAACAAGTTTCTTCACAAATAAATACACTACTGATCGTCACGGCATATTATATCGTTGACGAAGAAAAACAATATAAATTTATCCAAAAAGAAAAAGAAAAACAATATAATTAATTCATATATATCTTTTTCGCCAAGAAATCTTGACGTATACCTTTTAGAATGAGAATCATAAGTAGATTATTTTTGGACAACAGAATCATGGGATGATTAGCTGAACCAAAATATATAATACACACAACACACACTCATGCATCCATTCCATGATTAGGGGTTGAAGTAGGCCAAGTAGTATCAGGGGCTTCTTATTTATATCTAGTTTAGTCTATTTATTAAATATTTAAATAGGCCAAACCAAGTTTAAGCTTATATAAAAACTTTAATTTGCTTTCTGTCACTAGAACTTGAAACCACGCGGGAGATTGAATTACACTTGAAACTCAATCTTAGGCATGCAATAAAATCACTGAGAATTGAGAAAAAGAGAGAACCTGAGAGGGACAGGGAGACTTCAATCATTTATTTATTCTATGTTTTTCTCTAATGTGTGATGTGTGGGACTAACTCCCAAAGCACCAATTTGACCCAAAACCAAAAAAAAAAATCCCAAATGGGCTGGGCCCAAATCTACCAAGAGTACACTAAATTAATCAAATAGAGTTGCGTTTATCATTAATTTTAAAAGATTGATTAGTGCTTTATATATTTAACAAAATCGACATCCCCATCAAACCAAGTCGAGCTTGTGATTCTGTATTGATCCAGTCAAATTAAATAGATATGTGTATAAAATACATAGAGAATAGTCAGTATGACGATGGACATTAATATATTTCTTCATGGAAGAGAATGAACATGACATAATCTTCACTATTGACCTAGTCTACACGCAAAATACCAACCTATCATTAATTTACATTATCTTTGTGGGCCCATCTAACTCAAAGTGCGAAAGAACATCAATCATCTTGAATAAACCGAAAACAAGAGAAAACAGCATGAAATGCAAAAACCAACTAGATCATATCATCATCATTATTTAATTAATGATTTAAAATCTTGGTAGGGAAATAGATAGTTCTAACTCCAAGGCAATCAGGCACACCGTAATTATTAAAATTTAAAAGACTTGCAACACAGGATTATTTTTGTTACGAGAAATATATGAATTCAAACCTATTCGTCGAGGCCATCAATTTCGCTGGCAAGGTGGTAAGGGACCACCACAGAGACCAGAATTATTTGCATAGCTCTCAGCTGGCACTTGTGGGAGCTTCGGAACTGGACCTGTTAAAAGATTGCTCGTCACAGTAAATGTCTTCAGCCTTCTGAGCATGCTCAATTCTCCAGGAATTTGCCCACTGAGTCGATTCCGATCAAGTCTAAGAGAATTGAGATAGCTGCAATTTGCAACACTCTTGGGGATTTTCCCGGAAAAGTTATTGGAAGATAGATCAAGAGTTACCACATATGGAAGAAGAACATCAATATCTGCAGGAATATTCCCCGAAAGTTTGTTCATTGATAGATCCAATCCTGTTAAGCTTGAGCAGTTTTGAATGGCACGTGGAAACTGGCCCTTGAGTCCCATGTCTGACAGCTTCAGATTTAGGACTCTATTCTCATCAGGGTGCCAACATTCGACCCCAGTGAATCTGCAGATAAATCCTTCTGTGATGTTGTTGAAATCCCAGGAAGACTTCAGATAACCATACGGGTCTTCAAGTGAATCTTTTATACTTTTCAAGCAGAAGATATCAGTCACAGTCCCGTAGCTCATGACGCTACAACTAAGTAGGAACCAGAAATTAATGAAAAGAACACATACAGTTCGGCTACTCAGAACCATCTTCATCCAAGAAGCTTCTGGATATTATTCTTATGAACACACCCTGACGAGGCACATTTAAAAGAGGTTAAAACAAGAACAGAAAAACCAGTAATATCGCTGATCAGTTTATGATCAATTCACAGTCAGAATCTTGAAGTGAATGAACATTCAAAACCTTACCTGAGTAATCTGAGAATCCGACTCAGGAAAAAAGGAGGATGCTTGTGGAGCTCTTGAAGCAGACAGATGGAAATGTGTCCTTATATTGGGTAAGCGGAAGTGCGAGAAGGTTTGAACATGGTTAGGTGTATAAGTCTAGTTTTCCAAGTCTTCTATTGGAATGACACAAATCCATTGAAAATTCCGAAGACTGAGTTTAACTTTCGAGTAAAATAGAAATATTTAGGGAAAATGATAAAAAAGTCCCTCTGAAATATATAAATAACAATTTGATCCTACAAAATATCATAATTTTTCTAAAATTCCTAAAAAATTTTCTGTCATTAATAAATTTATATAAATTATCAAATTGGTCTTATTCAAAATAAATGATTCACAAATTTTCTTTTTATATTCGCAACTTTACTTTTTATATTCGCAATAATGCAACAGTAAATTATAACTTCACATGTTAAATTTCTTATTTGCTATTGCATTATTGTTAATATAAGATGAAAAGTTGTGAATATAAAAAAGAAAGTTACGAATCATTTATTTTTAATAAGGGTAATTTGATAATTTATATAAATTTATCAATGATAGAAGAAAAGTCTCTAGAGACTTTAAGGAAATTATGATATTTTGAAGGATCAGTTTGTCATTTATATATTTAAGAGAAATTTTATTATCATTTTTTCAAATATTTATTGTTTTGAATAACTAGGCAATTTATTTGAATCGCACATTTTCCAAGTCCTGTGTACATTTATCGACAACTTAAAACAATAAGTGAAAATTTCTTCTAAACTGATTCTCTAGTCTAATCACGAGATTACTAAAATGATAAGACTGACTTAATGAGTGTGTGGCTAAGAAGTTTCGATATCAATTTCAACTATAAAACCATAAATGACTATAAGCAGAGGCGGACCTACGTTTAAATGAGGGTGGGGATATGCCCCCCTCCCCTCAATTTTTGAAATTACCATGTTAACGTGTGATAAGTTTACATGATGCCCCCTCTCTTCTGCAAAACTTGAACCCCCTGAGCAAGATTGAAGAAACAAAACGGGTAGATGGATTCGAAAAAGTGAGATAATAGATGAAGCATTAGAGAACCTTATGAAAGCTTTATATTTCAATAATGGGTTTCAAATTTAGTTTGCATGCCGGAAAATGAGAGACAATGTTCGATAGAAGAAGAAGAACAATGGTAAGAAGAAGAAGAAGAATAGTGGAATAGTTTGGATGTGTGGGCGATTGCGTGCAAGAGTGGAGCAAAATAAAAAGGGGATTTAAAAAAAAAAAAACATGAAGAGATGGTGTAATCAGTGGGTGGAGTTTTATTAGTAGGCATTTTTTATAAGTTATGTTTGGCCTAAAATATAGGATATTTAATAGTTCTTATTTTTTTCAACTATATCTTTATATTTTTATTTATTTTGAAAAATGGTCTATTAAAATTTCAATTATCATTATTAAGCTACTTCTATAAGATATTTAATGAAATTATAATTAAAAAGATATATGATTTTTTAAAAGATTAAAATTTTAACTAATTATTTTGAGAATCATAAAATAATTACTAATACCTTATAGCATGGACCAAATGGAATAAGCATGAGTTTAATTATATGATCATTTAATTGTTTGCAGTTAGTTAAAAGTTGGTCAAAATTATTTAGTACAGTAAGATTATAAAATTTATTTATTTATTAATGGAAAATATAATTTTTTATAACATAAGTTTTTTTTATTACTCATGGTATTTTTTTATTGAAAATAATTATATTCAAAACAGATACAAAATATGGGCACCTTTTTCTATCAAGAATTTGATAAAACATTTAAATATATTGTTATAATATTATTATTACTTTTTTGAAGAAAAATCTATCAAATATTGCCCCCATTGGGTTAAGGTCTTCGGCCCGCCACTGAATATAAGATTGTTGGGAAAATGTCATGAACGATCATGTTTCTTGTGTTCAAGACACGTGGAATGAAACCAAACAAGTGATGTGGAAGCGAAAATCGGAGGATAGTAATATAAATATGAGGAAGATTAACTAGCTTTTAAAA